ACACACACACTGTGCACACACACCTATGTGATTTCCAACATGTGTGTTTCAGAACATGTTGTAAATCACATGTGGTTTACTATATAATCACATATGATTTGACCATTCTCATTTAAGCATTAAGCATTAGTCTGATTGCCTACTGTTTATGTGTGTGTGTATGTGTGTGTGTGTGTGTGTCTCTGTGTGTGTGTGTGTGTATGTGTGTGTGTAAGCCCATAACCAGACACATTTAAGTGGAATTTGCTGTCTGGTTTGTAAGTCCATAACCATACAGCAGYCCCAAACAGTTCCAATGGTGATAAGACGTACTGTATTATGTGTGTGTGTGTCTGGTTTGTAAGTCCATAACCATGCACATCTATCATTAAATGTTCATGTTCATTTGGGATGTTCATACCAAAAATATGCTATATGTGGCTTCTGTGTGCATATGTACACATACACACACACACACAATATGCACACACACCTATTGATGTGAATTCCATTCACATTTAGGTGGACTTTGCTGTCTGGTTTGTAAGTCCATAACCAGACAGCAGTCTCAAACAGTTCCAATGGTGATAAAACGTCCTGTATTGTGTGTGTGTGTGTGTGTGATCTGTTTGAAGACCGAGCACGTGGGATAATATGCCGTTTTCATTGGGTACAAATAGAAACACAGAGACTGTGCACACACACCTGTTCTGTTTTGACGGGGCTAATATGTTGTTCCTGTGTGCACATTAAGGGTCTGGAAGAGGTAGTATGTGACAAACTGTTTATGTGTGCATATGTACACATACACACACACTGTGCACACACACCTAGTGATGTGAATTCCATTCACATTTAGGTGGACTTTGCTGTCTGGTTTGTAAGTCCATAACCAGACAGCAGTCCCAAACAGTTCCAATGGTGATAAGACGTCCTGTCTTGTGTGTGTGTGTGCTCAGTTTGAAGACCGAGCACGTGGGCTAATATGCCGTTTTCATTGGGTACAAACAGAAACACAGAGACTGTGCACACACACTGTGCACACACACCTATTGATATGAATTCCCTTCACATTTAAGTGGACTTTGCTGTCTGGTTTGTAAGTCCATAACCATACAGCAGTCCCAAACAGTTCCAATGGTGATAAGACGTCCTGTATTGTGTGTGTGTGTGTGTGTGTGTGTGCTCAGTTTATGTGTGTGTATGTGTTCATAATGCGCACAGAAACCACATATAGCATATTCTTGGTTAAGAACATCCCATATGAACATGAACATTTAATGATAGATGTGCATGGACATTCAATGAACCAATTGTGAACATATCATGTAACAACCAATGTGCACAAATGGTGAACAAACAGTTTACTTGCAATATCTATGACAAACTGATTATGTGTGCATATGTACACATACACACACACACACACACACACTGTGCACACACACCTATTGCTGTGACTTCCATTCTCATTTAAGCATTAGTCTGATTGCATACTGTTTCTGTGTGGATATGTACATATACACACACACTGTGCACACACACCTAGTGTGKGTATTCCATTCACATTTAGGTGTACTTTGCTGTCTGCTTTGTAAGTCCATAACCAGACAGCAGTCCCAAACAGTTCCAATGGTGATAAGACGTCCTGTCTTTTGTGTGTGTGTGTGTGTGCTATGTTTGAAGACCGAGCACGTGGGCTAATATGCCATTTTCATTGGGTATAAACAGAAACACAGAGACTGTGCACACACACCTGTTCTGTTTTGACGGGGCTAATATTTTGTTTCTGTGTGCATTTTAAGGGTCTGGAAGAGGTAGGATGTGACAAACTGTTTATGTGTGCACATGTACACATACACACACACACACACACACTCTGTGCACACACACCTATTGATGTGAATTCCATTCTCATTCAAGCATTAGTCTGATTGCCTACTGTTTATGTGTGGATATGTACACATACACACACACACACTGTGCACACACACCTAGTGATGTGAATTCCATTCACATTTAGGTGGACTTTGCTGTCTGGTTTGTAAGTCCATAACCAGACATCAGTCCCAAACAGTTCCAATGGTGATAAGACGTCATGTCTTGTGTGTGTGTGTGTGTGTGCTCAGTTTGTGTGTGTGTGTGCTCAGTTTCTGTGTGTGTATGTGCTCACAATGTTTACTTGCAATATCTATGACAAACTGATTATGTGTGCATATGTACACATACACACACACACACTGTGCACACACACCTATTGATGTGTCTTCCATCCTCATTTAAGCATTAGTCTGATTGACTACTGTTTCTATGTGGATATGTACACATACACACACACTGTGCACACACACCTAGTGTGTGTAGTCCATTCACATTTAGGTGGACTTTGCTATCTGGTTTGTAAGTCCATAACCGGACAGCAGTCCCAAACAGTTCCAATGGTGATAAGACGTCCTGTCTTGTGTGTGTGTGTGTGTGCTCAGTTTGAAGACCGAGCACGTGGGATAATATGCCGTTTTCATTGGGTACAAACAGACACACAGAGACTGTGCACACACACCTGTTTTGTTTTGACGGGGCTAATATGTTGTTTATGTGTGCATATTAAGGGTCTGGAAGAGGTAGGATGTGACAAACTGTTTATGTGTGCATATGTACACATACACACACACTGTGCACACATACCTAGTGATGTGAATTCCATTCTCCTTCAAGCATTAGTCTGATTGCCTACTGTTTATGTGTGGATATGTACACATACACACACACTGTGCACACACACTGTGCACACACACCTATTGATGTGAATTCCCTTCAAATTTAAGTGGACTTTGCTGTCTGGTTTGTAAGTGCATAACCATACAGCAGTCCCAAACAGTTACAATGGTGATAAGACGTCCTGTATTGTGTGTGTGTGTGTGTGTGCACAGTGTGTGTGTGTGTGTATGTGTTCACAATTGGTTCATTAAATGTTTATGCACATCTATCATTAACCAAAAATATGCTATGTGGATGTTCTTAACCAAAAATATGCTATACGTGGTTTATGTGTGCATATGTACACATACACACACACTGTGCACACACACCTAGTGTGTG